GAAATTTTGTCAGTGTCATCATCACCAAGTGACTTTTTCTTTTCCCATTTATGAAAAATCCATTGTGGGGGTCACTGATCTGACAACACAGATGATATCATTCATGAAGTAGAATAGTAGTTTAAGGTGCAATCTGCAGACTTCTTCAGTAATGGTATTTAGAGGGTCAAGAAACACTAGGAAAAATGTGTAAATCTGGATGGTGATTACTCAGAGATAAGTTAACAATTACAAATCCAAACAAACTTTCTGTCATATTTTTCAAAAGGTGATAACTAAAACTTTACAATATCCCCTCATATATTATATACACTCAACAGTAAGTTGATGCTATGTACAAGTTAGCAAGTTTGGGGGCCAAAATTATGGATTTTGATATGACCCATAGATATGCTGAGGGTAAAACCTAGGGGCTTGTACACACACACACACAAGATCTAGCCTCTCTCCATACTGCCTCTTTGCACTGATTGTCCAGCCACTTACAAACTCCCAGATCTATACTTCCTTCTTGAGAACTTCACCTTAATCCCAAAAGTGTACTGGGATATTTTTTTGGCCTAGCAGTATACCTGCACAGGCACTATCAATCTGGTCCTGTTTTGAGGTGAGACACTCTGTATGTATCTCACCTGACTCCTCAGCAACTGCTGTCCAATTCAGATCCACAGGAAGTATATTGAGACATTTTCCTCTCACAGAAACCCCCCCCCATCGATTGGAACCTCTGCTTGTGGAATCACCCTCTGCAATCCTGAAAATCACCATTCTCTATCACTTTTAATATCTTAGTTCTCATTTGTGTGTGATAGTGTGCTTTTGTGTGAATGGTCATTTTCTTTTACAAGTAAAAAATCTTTATCTTGCATTCTGGAGTTCAGCTTTTCAGAACCATTATACATAGGCTTGATCCCTGCTTTTAGTTGCTCAAAGCCCTCTCAGCAGCTTCATTTGAGCTAAGACAATCCACCTGTTAAATATTGGTTGTGGATGCCCTCTGGGACCCTAGCATTTTGGGTAACAGGGCATGTAAAAAAATGTAAACAATGAAACAAAGGAAAATTATGCCAAAGAACATAGAAAATTCCAGAAGGCATGACTGTTTGTGTTCACCTGAAAAGCTGGATGG